CCAGTAAAACGGCATAGCTCTTCTGCAACTTAAGGGGCAGCCATAAAACTGTAACGTCTCGACGTTGTAACAGTTAAACGATCATTGCTAACCGTCGTTTTTCGTGGACGTTCTAAGCGCTGGCGATTGATTACGTGTTCAGTCGTTCGGAATCAGTTCGATAGTCGACATTTGGTGGACTGATGCAAGCAAAAGTGTTCAGCGACATCTTTTTATAAGCAACTAATTGTAAGCATCCCTATAGTCCTTTAACGTTCATTTTCGGAAAGTCCTGGTTTTTTTTTCATTAGACGTTTTTGCAGTTTTTCACCGGTTTTCTTTTCCAAGCATGTTCAGAATGTTTTTCTACTAAAAAAATGTTCCCGGGCCATGTGCGTTCGAGCGTAACCTTTTGTTTTATTGAATTGTCACAACGTTAGATGAAGCGGTTTCTGCGTACCAAATTAAAAAAAGAACTCTGTCTTTTGTTATCTTTATCTCTATTGTTTTTAAGAAAAAGCATAATAAAACAATTAAGAAAAATATTTCAAAATTATACAAACGGAAAAGCAATTGCTAAACTTATTTTGCTCAGTATATATATATATATATATATATATATATATATATATATATATATATATATATATATATATATATATATATATATATATATATATGATTGCGCCCATGACAAAAGGGCCTTATGGCATTTTTGCTAAAACAGAGAAATAACGTCACAAAGATGTGACGTTGCAGACGGTGAACTTCGACGCAGATTTTATTTCAACCACGTGTTTTGACGTTTGACGCATCCAGAGTTTCTATCGCTGTTTCCAACATGTGGAATTTGTTTTCATTTATAAATTAATTTAATCAATATCTAAATCTTTTAATCCACTTATTTTAATAGATATGAATAAAAACATTTAGAACTGGTTTGAATTCTTAACAAACATATCTATTATACGTCTCTGATACCAATACAGTTTTCCGACATCATGCACCATGTACAATGTATAGAAGCTGTCGACACTTGGTGTTTATCTGATAGGATAATAAACCTATGTACTCTGGAAAAATAAATTTTATATTTACATATTCATACCAGATTTAGGATACATGTTAGACAGGGGTATATTGTTAAAATATTGCAAAGGAAAATTGCCTTCCTTTTTTGTGATCCGCTCCACCACTCTCAATATACATCGCGATCGCGTCGATCACATGTAAACATTGATTCATTGGTGCATACTGCTTAAACTTTTGCTAAATTGACGCTTCACATATCCGAACAAATTGACTGGGAACCAAAGCATCTGGATAAATGAGGCTCCACTGTATATTGATTTGTCTACTGGATGTTTCTTTTTATAAATTAATGAGGAAAAAATGGACGAACCACTTTGTTCGAAATTCTTTAAAAAAATTTGCAAATGTCATCTTTAATTTAATTCTATTAATATGCTTCTAAAACCATCCATTTCATAAAATAAAACCAGATTCTGTTATTCTAAGGTGTCATTATATACATGATAAACAAGACTGAATTTATAAGTAACTATTCGGTTCCAGGCTCATAGTGCTCATGATCGCTGTGCGATTTTGAAAATGGCAATGCTCAGAAACAAAGGTACAAATATAAAATGAAGAATATTATGCAGTATTATTTCAAACCTAAATAAAAAAGTGAAATTACATGTTGTAGGGTTAATGGTACTGGGTGTGCACCTAAAACTTTGGAAGTAACAAAAAATATTTATTTATTTTAACTGGCTCGTGTTCACAAGAATTAAAAGTTTCTGCCATTTAGAATTTTACCCCCCCCCCCTCACCAACACACACATAATCCCACCAATATAAATCCTGGGTCTATTTATTGTGTAAATGTGTGTGAATTATAATTCATTCCTTTGTTTATAAAATGTCTCATCTTTTTGATCGGCAAATATCAAAATATTTTTACTGTAAGGCTGAAACATATTTCGTGTATCCTTTATATTTTTCAAACAGCAGTGTCATTTTTAGCCCTGTGTATTGAGCCAAAAGTTTCGATACGATACGATACAATATTTTTTAAAGCGAAATGCAATATATTGGATTCCGAAACAAGTTCATCAGAAAAGGCTTCTAAATCATTTTAATGCATACATTTCATAACAATTAGGTGTTTTATTACACATTTTAAAGTTTTTGTCTCATTGTCTTTAAAAAAAACAATTCAATTAAAATTTTTTATGACAGTAAAATCAACATGTTAAAAAAAAATTCTCTTTGTATTTTGTAATATTTATAAAAAGTGTGTTATTTCCTTAGAAATTATGTAATTATTGAAGGTTTTAATTCAAAAAAAGTGAAATATAATCTTTGGTGATTGAAAATCCAATCTTTTAAACAGAATTTGAATAATGATACGTATTGGAAGTTACTTTTCGATACGATATTTTTCTTGAGTATCGATACATATCGATATATTGATACAGCCCTAGAATTAACCGAATTTCCGTTTCATTTACTGACTAATGTATATATCGTAATAACATGTTACCACGCTTCACTTTTTTTTGTCTTTATATGAAATTTAGAAAAAAAAATAACAATCTAATAAATTTTCACTTCATTTAGGTAGCGTTTTGTTGCTCTAGATATATTTTTTAAAAGTTAATTTTTCACATATATTGTAATTTAAGACAAATCGTTTTATGCTCTTCCTATCGAGAACAATGCTTTAAATTAAAATAATTTTCTAATGAATTCTACAGTCAGGCTTCTCAAATGACTCTTGCATGGATTACTAGATGTAAATATTTTGTTTGAGAAAATAATTGTTTAAAAAAAACTGAATGGATGTCGCCCGCTGTTCAGGTCTTCCCCTGGTGTCATAGAAAAGTGAAATGTAAAACACTCACTCATAATACTATACACCACTAATGAATCGGTAATATATATATATAGCTATTGAATAATTATTAATTATTAAAAGAGACAATTAGATAAAGATAATGTGAATGGGTAAAAATAAATATTACACAACTGTGAATTACCAAAGTAAAATTACAGAAGAAAATCATTTTACGTTCACTCTGAAAACATTTGACGTTGTTGAAAAACATGACGTCATTATGAACCTCTTAAAGTATCTTTGATAAAAATGAAGAAAAAACCTACTTACAGTAGAGATAGGACCATAAAATTTCATATTTGACAACTTCAAACTTTACTCTATCAAAATCCGTGAAAAAGTCAAAATGCATAAAAATTGCCATAAGGGCCCTTTTCCCATGGGCGCAATCATATATATATATATATATATATATATATATATATATATATATATATATACATATATATATATACACACACACACACGAGGGGTGATAAAAAAGTTCGCAAACTATCTCTATATCCTTCGACTTCTGACTTCTACAATTTAAACAGAGGCAAATTCCAATTACTAAATTGGTGAAGTCAGCTGTCGAATGTAAAAGTAAGTCTCTTCATTAAACTACAATATACACAAGTTCTATAAATAGTATATGCTGAACATGCTCCTTGTTTGTGACGTCACAATGTGAAAATGGCGTCACTATGCAGGTCACTTGTGACGAAAAATGGGTGTCTCAGTCGTACTCGTTCAACGAAGGACTGTAAAATTTATGGTATATCTTAGAAAGTAGGGTATAATTATTTGTACACAGTTTATTATGACAAATGACTTCCTATAAACTTAATCAATGATTGGATTGATCATTTTAGAGAAGGAAGGCAGATGGTTAAAAATAATTCTTGTTTTGTTGTCCGGTTAAAGCAAAATTGAAAAGAGACGTATTTTGAATTCAGTAATTTGCTATCAAAGACGTCCATTTTACACTCTGAAAAATAGTTGAACATTTTAACAATAATATGATTATCAAATACCTAAGATATTATTCACTTTAGATTTTAAACATATTAGATATGATAAAAAGGAGGAAGACATTCTCTATCCACCTTGAATTAACATCTCTCCCAAACAAGAATATTTAGGTTTTGATAGTCGCCATGCTTATTTTTGAAAAGGATATTCTTATCCACCCATTCTGTTGCCGAGATTTGACTATTTATGACAAATAAAATGTTCTTGTTACAGAAATTAACTTACATGGAGAGAAATATAAAACTCAGAAAAATCTTGCAGCTTTTGTGACAGAACGCTACGGAAGGGGGTCACGTGACCGCCTATCCCACGTGATTCGCGCATGGGCAGAACGGTGGCAGACGTACATGAGAATCGGAGAGGACTAGTTTAAAATATAATAAACACTGAAGCCAAATATTGTTTCTTTTATGGAAGTTATTCAATAAGTTCGAGAACTTTTTGATCACCCCTCATAGTTGACACAGCATACCGTAAGACACCGAAAGCGGGGGGCCACTATTCTTGTTTGTTTGTTTATTTTTTGTTTCTAGTTTCGACTCTTTGCAACTTATTGTAACAAATAATAGAAAATTCTATTATATACTAGCCACTTTTAAAATCAAACTGAAAACATTATTTTCATTGCTTGTCAAGGAATTCTAGACTAATGGTTTCAATAACTGAATTAATAGGGAGCGGAGTAGACAAACAAGTTTTGCCTGTTGACATGTAAAAATTGTACATTAGTTTTAGAGATATATGGTTGAACCATTACCTAGTTTTAAAAGATTGTTTTCTCAAACAATTCTATTATCGAGATATGTACTTAAGAAACCTAGAAGATTCTGTTCTGAACTAGATACCATTATAAATTAGGCTTTTCACATCAAATAAAAATTAGATCAGAGCCCAACTCATCCTATAAAAAAATGTTTGCTTTGCCCTATGCCGACTGAAAGGCTGAAAAGGTCCGCCTCAAATCAATCTATTTTTAACCTCCAGGAAACAATAATTGTTTTAAACATACCAGAAAAAAAAATAAAACAAAATTTAGCATAAATGTTGAAATTTTCCGAGTAAAAACCGTTTCCACCTACTTATCAAACCAAATATTTTCCTCCTGAATCGAGAGAGGACAAACAGACGTTATTTTAGAACTGACAACTTACAATTTATCAGTATACTCTAACATCATCATGCTTACAAATCTCTTGCAGATAAATGTAATCCAAATCTTCCAGAAGAAGTAAATCTTCTTTTTCTCGGCTTCTATCTTTGCCCGCTTTCATCAATGTGTAGTCTACGTTAAGTTCAAATTCTGGATCTTGAACACCAAAGATGTCATACAACTCCGTCCATGCGGGTAGATTGAATGGCAGCAATTTGCAGCGTTTGTGATCCATCAGCCTTCTTAAACCTTCAGAATTTTGGTCATCATCATTTTTCTCTACTTTCTTGACATGCTTCTCCATAGAAATGATGCAGGATTTTCTCCTAATATTATAAAGATTTGCGAAATAAACTGTTATTTGTGTTTGTCGAGATGCCTCAAGGAATTCCAAAAGTTCCAAAGCACAATCTCTGCATGGACTATTGTTCATGTAAACGTCCACATGCATTGGTCTATTGTGCGGATATAGGCTTGAAAGCTTTTCGATCAGCGTAAGCTCGGCATGTTTTTTATACGCATTCTTTATTTTTCCATATTTATATTTGTTTACAACGAAGATAATATAGGTATCATAAACATCTTTCACCGAATCGTCGTGGTTTAGTTTTGTGTTGTATATGCAATGAAAAATGTTCCATCCATCTACAAAAGAATGAATTTTATTAGCACCAATCCAAACTTCATAGGTCATTGATGTTATTTTGAGGTAGCACAAAACAGGCCTATTTTTCTTCAAATTTAAATGGTTTGAAACTTGGATTATTTTGTTGTAAGATTTGTTATCTTTTATATTTAACATGGAAGAAAATGGACTACACATTTTATCGCTTACATAACTTGAAATATAGCAATTCAGACTACTATGAGACATTCCACATTGTAATATGCATTTGAAAAAAAAACATAATTTTTTTTAACAAATGTGTTACGCTGCCTATACATTTGATCCTTTTATTTGTATGTCAATAACAAGATTTAAAAAAAAATATACAATTCAAATTTAGCTAAATATTTAGAGAATAACTGAAATAAAACAAAGATTCCAATGTTTCAAAATCACGAAAATTAAACCATGGGATTGAAATATTTTGGAAAGTTTTATTTTTTTCATGGAAATTGAGAGCCTCGGATGACATCAAAATATTTGACCTTTTATCCGTAAATATGAAAATGTCCTATACGGTACGTAGAGCATGGAGACTCCTTATAAATACATGTATTTCCAAATAGCTGGTTTCTACTACAACGAAATCAAACGCTGCAATTTGTTTGATATTAAATAAAGGGTTAAAACGCACGAAGATGACAGGAACATATTCAGAATCTATTCTTTTAAGAAAAATAAAGAAATGCATAGTAGAATTTAAGTGACACATTGAATATTAAAATTATTTATTAAAATTACGCATATTACGTACTGACAATTAAAGAAAGTGTTGTTAACAATAAATGTACGATCTGAATGTCATAATTACTATAGAATTTTGAAATTATGGACACTTCAAAGTCATTAAAGATCAATATATGGTATGCTCCCTGCAGACACAAATGAAAGCATTAAACGGCATCTATTGGAAGCAAATGTGTGTAATAAAAATGTATAAGAATGCTCTTCCACTCAAAATATAGAGCTTTGGTATGGCGATCCGATTGTCTTTGGAAAATCATGGCAATCCATTCTGTCCAATACATGCTCAGTTGGTTTTACATATTGAAATTTAGATGACCCTGACTGAAACAGGTTGCTGCTGCTTTGCAAGAATGTGATTGTCAAACGAGGCATATGTGGCTGTGTATTGTCAGATTGAAATACGGCTCCAGGATGCTGTATTATTGGAAAGGTGTGTGCAGGTAGAACATTGTTAGCGTACCTTTTTTCAAGCCATATCCTTTAAATATGAATCAGATCAATCTTATTTTATGTAATACTGTTTTTCATATCATTACACTACTACCACCAAATCAATCAACGTCCTGGAGGCAGTTTTCTGTAAAGTGTTCATTACAAAGCTTTTGCACTCTTAAAGTAACGACGGCTATGCCATAAATATTCTTGATTAGTAGCTAAAAGAAAATGCTAAGCGGGGGTGCTCTTATCATAATCTGTTGATTTAAGTTCTTTGAAGTCGATATTTGTGGTGCTGCGCCGTCAGAACAATGGCATGAATAATTCTCTGGCAATAATTACAGCATTCCGTTATTGAATGCAAACGGTCATGTTAAATGTTCTGTGGAGTGCAGGGAAAGATAATCCTGAAGATATTGTCATTGTTAAACATTCATGAAGAATGCGTAATCCACTGAAGCGATCCTGGGCTGCTGATTTCAGGCGTGGTCTGCAATATTTTTGGAGAACATTGGGCGTTCCATGCTTATGGTTAGTGTTTTGTAGAATATATATGGTGCTGTGTGTAGCATATCAATATCTTGCAATTGTAGTCTGTGGCACACCTTTTTATTCGCCCAATTTCCCTTTTTGTGATATGCAACATTCAGATTCAGTATTTTTAAGTAGCGTTTATTCTCAAATAGATAAAACCAGAATAAAAATATCGAGAACCTAGGCTTTTGATAGCACTTTTGTGCATAGAGAAATTACGTCAGAAATCAACAAATGAAAACTTATCATTTTTCAGCATTTTGCAAAATCAAGTTTTCTTTGTCTTTGAGATTTGTAGAAAACCTGTACTGTGAACAATTGCATTAAAAGATAACGCATTTTACTCGAATGAAACATATTCATCTAAAAAAAAAAATGTATGACAAAACTATCTTACATTTTTAGGTGTTGTTCCTATTATGCATTTTTAAAGAGTACATTAATAGGTTAGAGATTGTTCAATATGTAAGTTGTCCCATGTATTCAAACTCTCTTCCCCGCAGTCAGCCAGTCATATACCATTTTTTTTAATTTTGACGCAAAATTGTTTCCCCGCAATAACGCATTTTTCACGCACTTTTGAAAGTAAATTTAATCTTCAATTTAATTTGAATTCCCTTCTTTTTATACTTGCTAAAATCTTATGAAATAACACAAGTTATCATCTTATTTGAATATTATATCTTTTTTGTACGCTTAACATTAAAGAAACTTGTACTGCGCCATAAAGTGCTTGCGGGGAATAGGTAACGTCATTTTTTTTCTGACGTGAACATTAAGTGTATGTTGCGTCGCAGTTCAGTAAGTTATAAAAAGTTAAAGAACAAGGTAAATCCATTATTATCAGATAATTAATAATTAATAATTGTCAAAAGACTATCCTGTTTAAAAAGAAATGAGTTTAAATTAAGGAACTCCGATACTCAGCCATGAAGGATAACTCTTTTATTTAGAATTTAATTCAAAACGTCTCAAAATAAAGCTTAAAGATTAAATCTTTAAATGCGTGCAACAATTTTCATTTTATACCTTTCAATGAGTTCCAAGGTTCTTTGAAGTTTTGTGAAAGGTCATATAAAAATAAAAATTTTTACCCCATAAAAGAAATTAAAAATTACATATTTAAAGAAGTTGGGGTTTATTTTTATCTAACCATATATATCGATGTTTAAAGTGATAAATGGTGTTTTGCAATAATAGGGAAATCTTTATACTATATGCATTGTAAAATAATCGATGTAAATGAATGAAATCAAAGTACCTTACATGTATACAGATTGTACATTATCTTCAAAAGCCTGTATACCTGTGAATTTTACGTGTAAAATGTATTTGTTGATCAATTTTTAATTTGAAAATGCATACATATGTAGTAGGTGTTTAATTTGCATTTCCTGAAAATTAAAAATTAATTTCAGATTGACTAATTTTTTCCTATATAATATGATTAACATTTAAAATAATGTCTGGAAAATTATTGTGGACAAAACACTTCGCTTTAAGAATTCATAGACAATATTGTGAGCATTTCAATTGGTCAATGCTTGATTTTCAGGACCTAAGGATCGGAGTTTCTTAATTTCATATATGTTTTGTTTTTCCTTAACAGAATGCAAATTATTTTCTTTAAATTTTGCCATTTTAATTACGTTGACACAAAAAACATTGAAATATGAAGATTTTAACCATAAAATAGTGAGGTAAGGGATCTTCGTAGTGGTGGTCATAGGGGAAAACTAACGAATTGATTTTCACCAAAAATGTTCTAATAAAAGACACTAAAAACCAGATATTAATTAAAAAGTTCATATATCAAAGTCATAGAATTATAGGAAATTTAAGCTTTAAAAATCTTGACAAAAGTTTTAGAAATGAAATTGAAAGAAAATGAAAGTATCAAACTTTTTTTACCCAGAGTACACTATAATTTACTATAGTTAGCTATGGTAAAGTTTTGAGAGGGACTGTTCTCTACCATACGATGTTGCTGGTTTGAAGCTCGTAGAACGTAGATCGCATATAATTTTACACCAACTGACAAAACCAGCTAAATGGCATATATATGTATTTGTAATTATGTATTTTACTACCATGGGGTGTATGAATAAATAAAACCTACATTTGATACGAGGACCGTTCGGAAATTATTGAGACATTCACTTTTACTTCATAAAGGACAAAGATAAATTCAGGAAAATTCGACATTTTATAAATAACGAATAAAATAAGTCTGCAAAATGTCTCATTTATAGAATAATTAGATAAGTTCCAGTGAAATTCTAAACATGCATATGTCTATCAACCTGGAGCAGCATCGCTACGTCATTTTAACTCGCGCAAGCCAAATATGTTTTTACATCTGAATCAATCGGGAAGCGTTTACTCTTCTCTCTCTGTTATCCAAACATTTACTCTTTTCTGAAATGATTTTTACAAAAATAATTTTAAAAGAATTGCTATTTTGCTACCCAAGTGTAAAATATACACGTATCATATACAAGTTAACTTGGCATCATTCAGTACTGATTTATGCAACGGGGGTCAACGTTATTAAGTCCTTAATATTTGATGGTCTTCCGGAGCTTTTGTTTTTATATTACTGGTAATAAAATTATACAAATCACTTAAAATCAAACCCTTACACATAATTTTCTCATCTTATTGTTTTAGCAGAACGTTACGTATAAAAAAAAGAGATTTTCATAAGCTAGGCAACATTTTAGATATGCTCGCTGCTCCGCCTTGACGCGAAAATCCATTTCTTATTCGTTATCAAATTTTCTTTACCACGCTTATTTTTTTAATGATCTCCGTATTTCGGGTCGAAATTCTATCAAACTTGCACGAAATGAAGTCAAAATAAAATCGAAAAATTAAATACATAATTTTCTTTCGTTCTTAATATAGTTCCACCGGGAGTTAGAACGTTGGTGTTACATATTTTCAAGATCTGATTTCGTGACTGCGCCGGGTACCCCCTACTTTTGACGCAATGCTATATCATTGGAGAAAAAAAATAAAATATTTGTAAAATATTTCTTGCTTTTATTAGTTTTTAGTGCTTGTCATTCGCATATGCAAATTTTCACCGAAAGAAATTCATTAGAAAGAATAATACAAACAACATCTCAATAATTTTCGAACAGCTCTCGTATACCTATTGTAATATACATGATATAGTAGAAAGCGACCTTTTACTACAGAAATGAAGGCGCCGTAACATACATGTACCTGACACCGGAACATTGTTCTTTCTTTTAATGAAATAAAAGTATGCTTAATATTGTTTTAAGTAGATGAGTTTGATTACTATTAAACCATTTAATGAAAATAATAATCAAACAAATAAAAAATACTTGTATATTTTATTTTGTTATTCATTATTCAAAATGGCTTTTCTTAACTTACCATAATCCTTAGCCATCGTTCCTAACACCCTGATGACGTCATCAACTGGATAAGAATGATCAATAAGAAATCAAAGAAAAAATAGTTAAAATACTTGAAAGGTAACTTTAGCTATAATAATCGCTAGTTTCTTGAATATTTGCGAGTACAATATTTTGCATGTACTAACGAACAAAATGAAGTGCAATGTATAGTTGCCCAAATATTCATACATTACATTCCAGACAGTTTCTAGCAAATTTAAATTTCACAAAGGTAACACATTACGAAGGCCGTTCAATAAAAATGCAATATACTCTATATCATGTAAAATGTAGAAGTATTTAACTTTCTTTTTCAACAGTTGAAAAGTTAGTTTAAGGATAAATAACACAAACAAACTTTTTTTTTCAGAAATCAGCATTATTTCTCATAGATTTACATTTAAATTGGTAACCTGAGTAATGTTTACCACGTAAAGTGGGAGAATAATATGAGATTTTGTTATAAGGTTAAAAAAATGTGCAAAATTTTGTATGGAATTATATAGAAGACAAAACAAAATCTCATATCTAAGCAGCAAGGAAAACCTACGATTTCTTTTTAATTCAGGGATTTATTATTTATGTTATTTCAAATCGAAATCAGTCAAAAAATATATATCAAGCCGTGCATCCATTTTTTTAGCTTGTGGCAAGCCCTTGAAGAGCTCCTCATAACAGAAAACCACATATTTTTTTTCTATTGTCCTCGTAAATAAATTATCTTTTAAAGTAAGCAAGGTCTGTATTTTGAGCAGAAAACTGTATATAAATGATCTCTGCCCAAAAAAATGAAAATAAGGCGTATGTGAAACTGTGCTATAAAGGTATGATACTCATATGAGGAGAAAATGATCTTTATAAGCTGTATAGTTTTCAGATGGATTCAATAATTCAAAAGGAAAAAAAGAAGAGTCAAAATATAACAGTCAAAGCTATGATTGAAGGTGGGAACACCACAAAATAACGAAGCTGTGTGCTACATGATATCAGAGAATGCTAGATTTACACTGAAATACAACACAAGACGACACTAGATATTTTATCATCACAGCATTCTATGGAATTCAGACAAATAAAAAACACATTTATTAATATTTATAATAGATAGATGTTATATTTTCTTACTAATGCCTTAGAGAGAATACGCATTTAATGTGCCAAAGGTCTATTGAAAAACAAATGATTTTTACAAAAAGAAAATCTGTTTAACTTCCTATATGGATGGAAAAAAACATAGATGCATGTTTGATAGCCGAAAACTAAGATCAATAATGAAACCGTGGAATCACAGCAAATTGTGTCGATTCATTATGGTTAAGAGAAACAAGGGCTCCAAACATATTATATTGGTTTTTATGTATTTCAAGAGGTCCAGTAAAACATGTACATGCATCCAAATGAAGGACTAGCAAAACTTGCATGTTAAATTGTACTTAGGAAAGTTAAATAGAATTCCTGCAAAGGATGTCCAAACACCGGTCCTCAGGGTAATTTTCCTGTACTTGGCAATGAGCCCTTAAATAAACGTGGAGAAATAAATATGATTTTGAAGAAAAACAAGTATACATAGTTTACTCAACATCCATATCTTAGCAATTGTAAGACTTTTTACTCCCAAAAAGCATGAAAATAACCAAAGGAAGATTGCACAATATCAGATATACCCGGGGAAATTATATTCATCAGGGTCTTTAGGGCATCCCTAAAAATAAGTATGCTGAGGTATTCTGTTCATGGGTACAAAGACCTAAGATATTCGTAATGTTAACGAACATTTTGAGTTACTTTTCCTATGTATGCATCACTACATGTTTACTCCTGTGAACTCCCTTGTGTGCACCGCATAAGGACCGTCATACCTGTACGTTCATTTTTTATTTATGCTGCCACATACAATGTACTTTGAAAATAGTAAGAATGTGTATCATGTACTTTTTTATGTTTAGATAACATTTTGCATTACTTATTGAACGAACCTCATATATTGATATGCTTTTAAAAATTTCTTTATATAGAGATAAAGAAAAAAGTTAATATGCTGTAATTCTAGTATGATAAAATAAATTATTTTTTGATAAAATATATATGAGGAGTTATCAAAAACTTTGTGGACTGAGGCTGTAAAATTAAAACCTCTTGAGGTACATCAATGAAGTTTGAAACATTTATTTATCATTATCTTTTCTATCTATTGAAAAAGACACAATCCATAAGTTTTATTTTTAAATAAACTAGTAATTTTTTTAAATAATGGTATGTCCGGGCGGCACAACCTCGAAAACGAGGTTTTTTTTTACCTAAGTGTAACTAAGATAAACTATTTTTATATACTGGAAGGAAAAAGAAACGCAGAGTAAACTTTTGAGGTTAATTGGTTTTGTTTTTCTTAAACTATGTTGCGTTTTCAAATCTAACTTTTAAAAGCATCTTTCAAAAAGATAAAACCAAGTTCCCATTTGATTTTGCATAATGATTCATAAGTTATTGAAGCTCAAATGACTATACCCCCCAAAAGTGAAAATCGAAAACTCTCATTATCTTCAATGTCTCTACCGTGCATCTGTCAGAGCCTTATTTCCCCTTAGCATGGAATTTCATTAGAGTGTTTATCTTTCAAACCCTGGCTATATTTGCATGGGTAACCAAGCAAAAAAAAAATAAATCAATCAAATGGCATGCGCATGCGCCAGTGAGTGGAATACAACAGTTGACTGGCTCAAAAAACTAAATTGCGGTATTGTTTTCTTTCAAATTGCCTACATATATGAAAGTAATGATTATAATCGTCTTCAGAGTCTGTATAAATGGCTGTTTTTGTGGTAGTAGGGTGGCGATTGAAGAGATGGCAGGACGAATAACCTGCTCGTAACATGGCTCTGCTTCGCGTTAACGTCATTTTCACGGTTGATTGAAAACCATTCCAGACCCTCTCTGACTAGGGATGGGTATCGCCAAAAATTTCGTATCACGATATATCACGATTTTTTCCCACAATATCATGATAATATCATGATATTTTTTAAAGCAGTTTTTACAATGTTTTTATATGAAAAGTCGTTATTTTTCTAAAAAAAAATATGCTTGAAAAACAAAATTTTACGTTCTTGAAATTTTTATGTATATAAAATCAATTATGTTTGGACGGTAAGATGCCGTTCTTTTTCACTTTTTACAACATTTTTTATATTTTCTGCAAATGTAATTTGAAAGATTGAACAGATAAATGAATAATTTCTGGACTTTATAATATGTACCTAAAAACCGGTATTTAGCCTAAGGTCTCCGTATCACTAAACGTATCACGCAACAAAAAATCGCGATATACCGGTATACCGATAAAATCGCACATCCCTATCTCTGACAACTGGTAGCAAGATTTATGGGGGAAAATTACATGAAACTGCTTAGTAAAACCGTTGTTGCCCTTTTCATTAATTAGGCAATTCGAAAACTAGACCCTATTGAACTTGTGTATACGGTGCCAAGATTGCACTAAATGCAATTGAAAAACGATGTGCATACCTCAAAGGCATCAAATAATGCAACAAGATCTGTTTATAAGCTCGTCGTTATCAAATTGCAAGTATTTTGGGGTTTTTAGCGTTTTACCTACGTGACGTCATATATTTTACGGTTGAGTAATTCTGAATACTGATTTTGGTGCACAGTAACAAAATTTATCTTCCAACCAATTTTCGTAATTTTCGGTCATGTGGTCAACATTTTCCTTTCAGTATATGAACATTTGACATCCTAAAATCCCGTTAATTCAGGAATGTGTTGGGACACAATTGTCTCATAAAATATGAAATTTTTACCTAATTCTTGAAGTTCTATGAAATGTTATTGTAAATTTTACATGGGGTATCGAAACAAATATTGCATTGAAATTGACGTCAAAAGGGGGAAGGGGTTTCCTTTTCAACATTCTAAAAAGTTTTGCCCCTGGAAAAACTGGTATACACCTAGGAAATGTTTGAACTGGCTACGGAGAAATGATATACATCTATATTGCTTGTTATTAATGCCAAAGTAGATTTAGAGAGAAAAGGGATGCAAAGTTAATGTCGATTTGAGACAAGGTTTGAAAAATCTATTACGTCAAAAAATGACGTTGATCATGTGTTTTACTGTTTTAGCTACGTGTGTATAGACCTCCAAAAAAAAAATAAAATATGCTGGCACAATCAAGCAGGATCTCTACCATTGTTTAAATCCATTTGCAATAATATATGCATTGATTGATTGATTGATTGTATATTGTTTAACGTCTCTCTTGAGAATTTTTCACTCATATGGAGACGTCGCCGATGCGGTGAAGGACTTCAAATTTAGACCTATACTCGGCACTCGGGGCCATTGAGCAGTGAGGGTTCTTTATCGTGCCAACGCCTACCGTGACACGGGACCTACGTTTTTAAGGTCATATCCGAAAGACCCGTGACTTTCACTTCTAGTGCCGAGCGCTTGGCGAAGGAACAGTCACTACCTTTGTTTACGTCTTAGGTATGACGCGGCGCCGCGATCGAGAATCGAACCCGGGCCTCCCGATCACGAAGCGAACGCTCTACCTATATGCACTGAAAGCTTCTGTTCATGACATTGAAAAGTCATAAAAATAAGACGGGTTGAAGTCCTTACTCAGCTCTGGGGAATCTCATCAAAAGAAGGGCACGAGGTAGAAGAAGCGGGCATTGAACAATAATGACGTTGTCGGAAGCCATGAAACAAAGCGGCGACGACGCCGGGTCATCATATAATTTTATAATTTTAGTTTTATTTTATAATAATTTGGGAAATAATGAACGTATCAAGCTAGAATTTTCAACATTTCTTTATTTTTTGTTTTTTTATGTTCCTTATAAATTTTGTAAGCTCAGACAAATAGAACTAATTTTATAGCCTCAGTCCACGAACTTGAATATCCCCTCGTATGTATAAAATCAAAAATTTGCTTTTTATAGAAATTATACCCCTTAAAAAAGAAATAATTGCAAATGCTCTTTCAAAAATAAATC